TGACTAAAATCAATCCAGTGGTTGTTTAAAACTGTTTAAAATAGCTGCACTTTTACAAGAACTGAAAATGGAACTTAAAAAGTACAAAGAAGATGCACAAGAAGGGAGAGGTTCTTTTGGCTTCGTATTTCAGTTTTTAGAAATGGAGATTTGGAATTATGAGAAACAACAAGAAATGCTTACAGAACAAGAAGATTGCGACAAAGAAGAAGCCACCTTTAATGAACAAGTAATCTTAGATGGGGGGAAAAAGGAAAGGGGGGAAAGAGAATGGAAAGTTTAAGATTGGGAAAAACAACTCCAAAAAAAAAGAGTGAAAAATAAATATAAAATCAGAAAGCAACAGAAGAGGGAAATGCAGAAGAGAGAATTAGAAATAGAGAGACAAGGGGATAAAAAGGGGAGGGAGAAGATGAGAGGGAAGACAGAAAGGAAAAGAAGTTATAAAGGATAGAAGCAAAATATAGAGAAACAGGGCCTATTTAGAGATAATGGGTGAAAACTTAATGGAAAAAGGGATTCTGCAAAGGTACATAAGATAGTATGGTTATATTAGAAGCAGAAATAATTTTAGAAAATATGAAACAATGTATGATTAAAATGTCTGATAAAATAGCTATTGTAACTCAGTGGAATGCTTGTCAATAAATAAATGTAACAAAAGGTATATTTAATGATTTATAAAACATATGTGAAGAGAAATAAGGGAAAAATTAATTATGGAGATTATATGTGTTTTTAAGGAAGTATGATATTTAATTGAAAAGAAGTGTTAAAGATGTTAAGATTTTAATGATTATTAATGATAGAACTGAATTGGAATGGAATGAGGGTTTATAATTACATATATTTACAATCTTTCTTTTTTTTTAAAGAATATAGTGTGTATTATAAGAATGTACCAAGCAGAATTCGATTGGAAGTTATGTATTATGTATTATATTGAAGGTCATAAACTTAAGGTATATATTGAAGTTTTAAAAAGAGTTGAATGGATGTAATTAAAAGATATAAAGGTGTCATACTGCAATTAGTAACTACAGGAGAAAATTTGTTTAATGAGAAAAGATAATATCAAATTGAAACAAAACAGACAAAAGTATAAATATAATGATTTGAATTGAGATGAGATTCAAAATAAAATTGAGAAAATTAAAAGGGGAAAAACTATACAGAAAATGTAAAATAGTATAAGATATGGAATAGAATACAAAAAGGAGCATGAAATTGAGTTTTGTGTCTGTATAAAGAAATTCAACCCAGGACCATGCTATTTTCAAAAAAGATGTTTTACTTGTATTTTGTGTGTGAAAACCCAAATAAAACTTTATTAAAAAAAAAAAGAATCAGGGCATTAAATCAGGAACAGGCATAGGAATGATTTACAAGTTGACACAGCCATTGTTTCCCACTCACAAAGAGTCCTGGAATTTAAACAAACAAATATTCAATACCTTGTTTTTCTCAGATTCCATCCCAAAATCTGCACATCTGTGTTCCACAAACATGTCATATTCTACAAAACTGTCAGGGTCCAATAACAATAGTATACGTTCTCTGGCTGTTAATTTTCCCTAAAAAACAAGAAAAAACATTGAACAGCCTTGTTCTTAACATAATAGCATATTTATATAAATGTTTTTCAGATTGAAACTCAAAGCTAAGCATAGTAACAAATATGCACTCAATAGTGACCCCCAATTTAAGGTCTTGTTCAATTTTTTTCTGTAAAAAACATGATAGTTAGACCTTTTCTTGCACAATGCAATAGAATGGTTAAGTACAAAAAGCCAGCCACAATAAGAAATCTTACTAATTTTAAGAGTTATAAAGCATTACGAAGCAGTACATAAGCTGAGTGCTATTGCTATTGCTATATCATATAATGCATTATGTGGCAGACTAAATCTAAGAAATGCAGAAAGAATGTGTGCAAAGTATTTTTATCTGTTCTTGTGCTGATCCATCCATGACATACTAGACACATGGCAAATCATTGGCTGCCCTCCAGATTGATTAATATCCAGTCAGACAACTCATATAGATTCTTTAAATATGCTGGAAGAAAAGAAAACAGATGGTCCAGTCACAGTTGAAATTAATGCAAAGACTACACCTTCGCATCTTCCCATCCTTTTGCAAGCTCCATATTACAGTGGATGGTGGCACCTAATCAACTTTGACTGATCTTGAAAATCCAAACAGGGTTGAATTGGGATGGCAATCCATGAAGAAATCCCAGAGTTATAGGTCTGATTCAAAAGGTTAAAGAAGCATCCCAGAAGATGGAATACAAAGCCAGTTTGTTATTGCCAAGATATAACATTGATGTGTCTGTGTAGTCTCTTAAAGTTAAAAGTAATTGAAAGAATTGACTTAATCTTTCTTAACAAATAAAAAAAAATCCAGCACAGTAGAGGTACCAGGAACAGCAATTATTAGCAACATCTTAGACTCCTTTGTCATATCTTGAAGATAGTCACTTCCTTTTATTTTGTTTTCCTTTTCTGAGGTAAGAACATTTTTTAAAAATCAATATTTTAAAGGACATTTTTTTAAATTGTATTTTGTCTCATCAGCTTTGGAAACACTGGACAGTGTGCTAATTTGCACAACCAAGTTGCCCCACTCATTATTTCCCAAAACAGAAATACATTGTGTCATTCTCTAATCATCCCAAATCCACTAAAAAGGCAACTTCTATCTGTCTTTTCCTGGTACACACAGTTTGTACCTCCCCAAGATTGCTGTGCATTTCATCCATTGCACTTCATTTTGCTGTAGGCAAGCACTTCCACTCCAACTGACTACTGTATGCTCTGGCAGGAATGACTCCTCCCCTCCAATCGCTGGTCAGTGCCTTTCACTGCAAGTTTTCACAGGCTGCTGTGCCCTTCTGAAGAGACCTTGACTAGTGGCGTGATTTCTTTTTCTTCATGTAATACCAGTAGGTGGAGTGGTTAAAGTGAACCTTTCAAGTGTTTCCCCACTCACTTCTCCCCTTCATCTTTGCTTCCAGTTATGTTTTGCTATTTTCATTCCTACCGGCTAATTATTCGTTTGGTAGAAAAGAATCAAAGTCTATCAGAATGAAAGGCCAGATTTATTTATTACATGTTCATTAATGGAACAGTGAAAACAAGTTTTTTTTTCTTCTTTTAACCAGGTGAAACTAACACAAATTTTGCTTGTTTTCTTTCTAGCTATAATGACAACAGCACAATTATTGTTATTGGTTTTTATCTACCAATGGATGCATTAGACAGAAATATGTGACCCCACAGGAGCAAATAAAAAGGGCCCATACAAAATGTCAATAAATTACCACATCTCCTCAAAGAACCTCCTGCACAAAGAAAAGCAATTGGTGTGTGCTCTTCCAGCATAGATGACAAAAGTAAAGAAGCAGGAAATCTATTGATCTGGGGACAGATTAATAAGGATAACCCAGACAGCAAGTTACAGTGTTATTATGATCAAAGTAGAGGAAGAAGTTAACATTTGGAAAGGCATTTTTCTTTAGCCAGCTTCATTTGCAATAAGTTTACATAATGGAGTCGCACAGGACCGTATGGAAAATCCTCCAGCTTCCGTCCTTCTGCATCCCTCACAGGAGAAAGAGGGAGGAAAAGAGATGGCAAATTAAATAAGCTAACCTTGTACACGAAGAGTAGTAAACACACTTTGCGTTACTCAGGTACTTCTCATTCAGGTTCAAAAAAGGACGACACCAGGAGTTGAGGAAATAGGAAGGCCCCAAAGGTATTTATGTACAATATTTAAGTTAATTAATGTATTTTTATTGCATTTCCAACATTATTTATCTCCTGTTCCAAAGTAAACTGGAAGCATATCACAGGGGTGTTCAGAAGATTCTGCGAGACAGGGCCTTTCCCATTATACTTAATGACTCTCTAGCCTTACCAAGGAAGCTATAGCCTGTCTGCCTTGCATTAATTCTGAGAAAGGAAAGATGAAGTCTGATGGATCACTGAAGCTCTATTCAATTTAGAGATTGTAAACACAGCATGAGAGAAAGCTGAAAGGTGGTCTCTTTGGACCTCTTCCTGACCACCTAGCTCCACAAACTGCTAACTTCAGCGAAGGAATAGACGGGGGCGATCTGCTTTCTCGCATCTGTAGTTTTCATTAAATAGAAGAAAAACAAGAGAGACGACCTTAACACCGCGGTGGAGAAGTCCGGACGAAGGTGTCGGGTTCTTTTCTACCTCGGCTGGATGGCAGGAGGAATTGTGTTGGGGGGGGGGGTAGGACTATAGGTCATGTATATGGACTTTTCAATGGTGCCCCAAGTGGCATTCTCTTAGTCCTGACCAGGTGTTGCCTCAGAAATCGGTGACACGGCACGCCAGGAGCAGCCAGCTTGCCACTGGTCGCGAAGGGCTTCGCTCGCTTGCAGCGACAGGAAAGGAGGCGCTCGCTCACCCGCTTGTGCTGCCCGTCTATGCGCGCTTGGCCGCCTCCGAGCAACGCAGCGCGACGCTTCTCTTCGATACGCTCGGGCACGGTGGCGGCCCGGGTCCGGGGACCGCTGCCGCTAAACGAGCGGCAACCTCTCAACAGAGCTCTCGACAGAAGGAAGGCAGGAACCGCCCGCAAAGCAGCCATGACTGAGCGGACTGGGAAGACGCATGCGCTCTTTCCCTCCAGACGGCGGCCGCCTCCTCGACTCCGCCTCGCTCCCTTATTGTGCGGCCGGCAATCGGTTTGCTTCGCGTCCTTCGGGCTCTGAATTTGGAAATTAGCGAGAAAAGATGACGGATTCACACCTCAGAAGTCCCTAGCTTTTCCAACGAGAGGATTTATTCTCATAGTCTTCTCAACCTGACCTCTTCCAGATGTATCAGGCTTCCCTTCCTTCCACTGCCCCGAGGCTGCGGCTGAGTTTTGTGCTGTGCAGCGAGCATTGCTACCGCCTCTGTGATTGTGATTAGCAATTGACAGTTGACAGGGCACTTGCACGCTCGGAAGGACCGTTTGTCTGCGGAAAGGAAGGCCTGATTCATTTGGAATCGACGTTGTGTGTGTTGGGAGAAATATTGTGTGTTAACTTGTAAAAAAAAAATGCTACTGAACTTACCGTATTGGTAGAACTATAGCAGTTACTAATCCAGGGTTGCTGTCTGGTCTTGTTACATTCGTGACTTTAGATGTTGTGGGCTAGAGGACAGGACTGGCAGTTTAAAAGAAGGAAGAAGAAATAATTAAGCTGTTCACATTTTCTTGAAAAAGGCGGTATTTTCACTCATCCTGAGATACAGCTTATTTATTGAACAGATGACAGTTTCTCGTTTGCACAGCATATGTAAAGCAATCAGGGCCATGGGCATGTGTGCAGCAAGTCACAGGGATGGGAAAATGGGAACATGACGTCACAGTGTGTACTTTGCCCATGTGTACTTACTTGAGCTCTGATATCTGAATGTAAGTAATGTAAGTTGTTTATTTAATAGAATGCTTTATTGTATATTTTTACTGCTTTGTTTTAGTTTATTAATATCTGTAATTTTTAATGGTAAACCATTCTAATATTTATTTCAACAAAAATAGTATAGAAATGTTTTCAACAAATAATTTTAAGAACAATGTTTGATTTTACTAGTTTCCAAATCACTGGTTTGCATTGTACCAAGAGGTTAAAATCTATATAAGTGGAAGAGTAAACTCAATGAATTTGGTGGTACTTTTGCATAGACTTATATGGGTAAAGCTGTTAATTGATGAATAATTGTATATGAATAAGGCAATTGAAAATCAAGGGTAGGTAATTTTTTCATGTACAATATTTTGAAGGTTATGTCAATCTTTAACATTATGCGTTTTCTCAGGTATTCAGATTAATTGCCTCATAGCGCTTTAGTATAATCCTGGTACTTTTGGTGAGGCTCTAGCAAGAGAAAATACTATTTAATAATCCTATTCACTTATTAACCAACTGACTAGGAGGGACAAATCAGTAACTCTCTCAAGCACTTTTGTTTCCAATCTCTCTCAACAATGTTTAGTTCAGGAAAGTCCTGCTATTGATCAATAGGTAGCATCTCAGTAAAAATGTGTTTCACTGCCGGAATAACTAGTAAAAGCAATACTGATTCCACTCCGCAGTCCAAAATGAAGGTGTTGTCAAATGCCCTTGAGCTCTGCTGAGCATGCTCACTTTCCTCTAATGTCTTCAGTGCATTTGACTCTTTAGTTGTATTATCCTCTCTTTTTCTGTGAAGGTAGATGAGTAGCAAAAAGATCTATACTACGGCTTCAACGTATGGCCAGAAATGATACCATTTGCTCTATTTTTGACTTTCCAGTTCAAAGGCAACAATACTGAGGTCTATTTTCTATGAATTTAGAAGGCAGAAATGGATACATGGCTGAACGTTGCAGAGCAGCTTCCTTATCCCTAATATAATTGGCCTTTGGTTATTTTGTTATACAACGTCCTCTAACAAAAGGTAAAGGACTATTTTTTCAATTTTGATTGTATTCTCGTTTCTCTTCTTGCATTACAAATTTAATTCCTAGATGTCACTGCATGCTTATTTAAGCAAAATCTTTCTGTTTCTATTAATGTGCATGCAATTTTAAAGTGATTCCAGTTGGAAAGATTTCACAGAGAATAATCATAATTTAAATAAATTCCCATAATCAGCTAACATAGCCTAGAATTATGTTCTATACGTTACAAGGAACATCATGTTTCTCTATTTGAAGAAGCAATGATATATAAATCAGCATAGCCTAGAGTGTATCTTTTTCCCTTCATTTTCAGTTGATAGAGAGATTAGCATATTTTTTCTTCATAATTCTTCTTTAGCATTTCATAACATTCTAATAACATTATCTCTTATAAATGTTTTTCAATTATAAACAGTCATGCTTGAGTTTAAATAGATTGAAAGGAATTCATTTAAATCACAATCTGTGATTTATAATATTTTATATAATATTTTTAGAAGCTAAAGATATGACTCTATTAACACAGTAACAATATAATATAGTATTTCAAATAACCAATGCTATTGGAGCACAATGGACATTTTTAGATGTATCCCCCTTATTAATGGCTATTAGCTGATATATGCTGCCTCTTAGAATATAAAACAACATGCTTCTGAACATCAGATCTTGGAAAAACAGTGGAAAGGATCTGTTTTATGTTTACCATGGGCCTCTGATGGGAAATAAAATTCAGCATTAATTAGGGCTTTGATCCAGCTCTCTCATGTTTAAATGTAAAGAATAATCTACAGTTTTTCAAGAAGCCATTGTAAATATATAATATTGTTCGTTAGTTCCCTCAATGCTACACATATTTAACAATCCTAACTATGTCAAAATATGTTTACTAGCACCATCTGAGCTGTTACATACAGGCATAAAAACTGATTTATATTCAGATTCAAAGCAAAATTAATTCTAATTTGATTTTAGATTCAATCATTTCCTAAAAATATTTGGAAGGATAAAAGTAAATGTAGATGCAGAAAGAAAGATAAATATCAAGCCTATATTTTAAATTGTCTAAATTAGAAGTTTGAAGTGGTTAAGGCACCAGACTAGAAATTGGGAGATCATGAGTTCTAGGTGACCTTGGGTCAGTCTCTCTTTCAGCCCTATGAAGCAAGCAATAACAAACCACTCCTGAAATCTTGCCAAGAAAACTGCAGAAACTTTTTCAGACAGTTACCAGAAGTCAATACTGACATAAAGGGACTTCCCCCCTCCCTCCCAAAAAAGAGACAGCAAATGCATTTATTATGATGAGACAGACTCTTTCCTTACAATTTATTTACTATATTGGATTTTAGAATGAGACATTTCATTTCTTCTGAAAGTACTTCAGTTTATGTAATATGGTTTTAGAACACTAATGAATTAGGATTATTCTAAATACCACTAGTAAGATATGCAACAATTTTATCAAATATATAAATATATATTTGTTTTTCTTTGCAATCAGTCCTTCTTATCTGATGAAATGGATTCTTCCAAGCAATATCCTGTGAAAAAACGAGTGAAAATTCATCCCAACACTGTGACAGTGAAATATAGTTCTTATTATCCACAGCCTGGAGAAGAAGGGTATGAGGAACCTAGTGAAGATAATGAGAGTTTTACAGAAGATAATCCAAAAAGAAGATTGTTGAGTGATAGACAACGAACAGGAAAGTCCTTCTTTGGAACAATTGACATTCCATTTCAGACAGGGCAGAAACTAGAAGTCAACAAGAATGAACAAGGCCAAGATTTTATAGAAGGAAGCATTTTTCAGTCCAGAAAAACTTGGGCTGTGCTTTTTGGATCTGCTTTGGCCCATGGTTGTGTAGCTTTGATAACCAGACTTGCTGCCGATCGTTCCAAAGTGCCATCTCTTGAATTGATTTTCATTCGTTCTGTTTTACAAGTTTTTTCTATTTTAGTAGTGTGCTATTACCATGAAGACCCCTTTGGACCAAAAGGCCATAGATTGCGGCTATTCTTCTACGGAATATGTAATGTTATTTCCATTACCTGTGCTTATACTTCCTTTGCAATTGTTCCCCCAAGCAATGGGACTCTTATGTGGAGAGCTACCACCACTGTTTTCAGTGCCATTTTAGCATTTTTACTAGTGGATGAGCGCATGGCTTATATTGATGTAATTACTGTAGTGAGTAGTATCTTTGGTGTTTGTTTGGTCATGATCCCTAACATTGTTGATGAAGAAAATTCTCTGTTGAATATCTGGAAGGAAGTCTTTGGATATACAATGACAGTTATGGCAGGCTTAACCACAGCTCTGTCCATGATAGTATATAGATCCCTGAAGGATAATGTCAGTATGTGGACAGCATTATTTACTTTTGGTTGGACTGGAACAATATGGGGAGCTTCAACTATGTTTTTCCTTCAAGAGCCAATAATTCCATTGAATGGAGAAAGCTGGAGCTATCTCATTGGCATCTGTATATGTTCCACTGTGGCTTTTCTTGGTGTCTACTATGCCTTGAGCAAATTCCATCCAGCATTGGTTAGCACAGTGCAACATTTGGAGATTGTGATAGCCATGATTCTTCAGCTTCTTATACTACACATCTTCCCCAGCGTTTATGATATAATTGGAGGAGCTGTAATCATTATTAGCATAATTTTCCTTGCGTGTTATAAGCTATCTTGGAAAAACTTTAAAAAACAAGATTACCAGGAAATATTAGATTCTTCTATTAAATGACTATAAACTTATTGTATTATTAGTGTAGTATGCAATTAATATGACTGTGTGTGTATATAGTGCTGTTAACAGCATACTATGATTTGTTGTTCAGGTACATGACATCAAATCAGCCCTAATACAGTTCAGTAGAGTTGTATGAAAATGTATTTTTCAGATATGTGAAAAATTGTTTTAAAACGTGAAAAATATGAAAATCATATTCTTAGATAGTATACAGAAAGTGCCAAAGATTAATAGACAGTTTTTGCTATGAAAATGGTATATCTATATAATCATCAGGAACTTATCTCAGTTCAATGGAGTCTTTATTTTTTTATCCTTGGAATCTAGAAAACGTAATTTTATTCTGTGTTTAAAATAACACAGTAATCTTGGTGTGGAATAGAATAGAAGTAAATTATAACAATCTTATTCCTTTTACTGGTTACAGAAACAATTGTATAGACTTTGTCTTTGATCTTTGGTATATGGTTCATTGTTAAAGATAACACCTGAATTGTGTAACTGCAGTTCTTCTTTTAAATAAAATGTAGTGATAATGAGCAATTTGGTATTTGAACAGATAAACTCAAGTTACCATTTTACTTGATTCAAGGCCAAAAAAATTATATGTAGTCTGAAGACAATTGATGTTAATGAAAACCATGTAAACTTTGTAACATGTAATATTTTATTAAAAATGCTTCTGTGTTTAGGATTACAATGATCAAATATTTGACAGAGATGGACATAAGGATTTACGGTAATTGTGTGGTATGAATAATTCAAATACTTTGATTATTCTGATTGTGATTATATGATTTACCAGTGACATCACATGGTGACCTTATCTATGCTCAGTAGCTAGGTTGGGCTTGGCCCAATTAATTTTGATGGAAACGACCAGCAAATACCAGAGCTATAAGCTGAGAAATAAAAACCTACCCATGACCATTGCCACACTATTGCCAAGAAGTCTTAGCAGTTGAGCTTGACTGGAAGGAAACTTTTACTTTACCTAATATTTATATGTGATTGTAATTCCAATATTTCAAGTCTCTATGTTACCCCATCTGAATATTTTTGATTGTATGTGTATGTTTACAACTGATAAAAATATCAGTCACATGCTCCCTCACAAAAATACATAATGACCCCAAAATATGGAAACTAATACTGAGACCAAGTTACCTGAGGTATCTGAAACAAATCCATTTTCCCCTGAAATGCCAATTCTAAAAGTATCAAAATGGAGTATCCACCAAATGATATGAATCTGATTTTATTTTTTTAAATAAAAGATTATTTTAAAAAAGCAATTTCTAGCAGTTTATAAAACATATGAAGCTTTAATTGAATTTTTACAGTATTATAAGAGTTTGTATCGGATCTGTTAACAAGAATGTCTTTTTTTTCTTAGTACAATCCATCACAAAGAGCAGCCTTATCTAAACTCAGTTTAACTACGTCACTGTCATAAAATCCGTTTTCAATCTTTAAAAAGAACCCTGGAAATATTTCTCACAGGCTTCATGGAAAAAGCAGAAATATAGTCTCATATACCTAATGATGAGAAATTACTCCAAAATTCTAAAAAATGTAAATAGATAATGGATAATTAAGACTGGATACAAGAACAATGGAACTTCCCAGCAAAGAGTAAAGTAGATAACACTACCCAATGCCTGTCTCCATATTGCCAACATGATCAATTGTTCCAAAAGCAAGTACTCTAAAAGAACCCGGAGAATCAAATCATATGTTCAGAAGGTATGGTAACCAGGCCTTTAAAGAATTTACATTAATTATAAAGTTAACAATTTTATTTAGTTTTCATGTTTTATATTTTAAGATTTAACTTGAAATATCAGACATATTTTTACTTAACAGTATGAAGTTTATTATTGCAAGAAGACAGGATAAAAGTTGAATAGTCCAGTAATTAAATAATTTCCTATTTGCAGGATACAATATCCATCAAGGGAATTAAAGCAATTTGACATGGGTTATGACCAGTTCAAAAGGATTAGACTGTCTTCTAGGTTATGTAATGTTTCAAAAATCATAGGTATTATTAAATAGGTAGTATCAAGTTTCTGGGTGTGCAGCTTATGAGCAGGTTAGCTTGGTCGTTCAACATAGCACGATGCTGGTGTTGTGGGGACAGCAGGGCCTGCATCTTCTACATCGTATGAGAAGAGCACATCTTCTTTGCCTTATCCTTACCACTTTCTATAGAATGTATAGATGGACAATTGAAAGCATCCTGTCATATTATATTACTGTGTGGTTTGGAAATATTACTGTTTTGGAAAGGAAGGCTGTGCAGAAAGTGGTGAGGACAGCAGAAAAGATTATTGGAAGTTCATTTTCTTCTATCCAGGATATTGCATATAAATGATTCTTGACCAGGGTCCGCAGTATTGTCTGGGACACCACACATTCTCTCCATTATGAGTTTTCTTTCATACCTTCTGGGAGGAGGCTTCATGGTATCTGAAGCAGAACAGCTAGATTTTTCTAATAGCTTTATTCCATATGGTATCAACTTTGTTAACTCTCAAGACTCTTTTTTTCTGCTATGTATTCAAAATGGACTGTGATTAATGTGTGTGTGCATGTATGTATATATATGTATGTATATATACTTTTGAGATTGGGCATCAGAATTTCATTTTTTTTAATGTGTGCCAGTGTGTTCACAGACAAAAGTGACAATAAAGGTTATCTTTTATCTTATTATGGTATACTAGTGGTATTATCATTATCATCTTTAAATAAGTTGACCACTGCTATCAGAAAAAGTTAGGTCTCTAATTTATTTCCATTAGCTTGACTAAACTAGGAGCTAAGAGAACATATTATTCTATTTATAGCTCCCAAAATCAATTATCAGCTCGGAATGGAACATGACAGGGAGTGTATTGTGTTCCTTCTTTGTATGTATTCCCACAAGCCTCTCTTAGCTCTGTAAGATCAATTCTGGTCTAGGTGAGCCTTTAGCCTACCCAGCACAATTCAGGCATATTTATGAAGGATCCAGTAAAATCTGTAAAGGTGAATTTGGACCATAGGTGTTTGATACACCAACAGAATCAAAATTCAACTGAATATGGCATTTTTTATTGTCAATAATTTGACCTGAAATTCATTGACTGTTCATTATTCATTTCCATTGGTGGACTGTTAACTGCTGTACTATATTTAAAATGCTTAGGTTCTTCTCCCCTGCAAGACTTATTTGGCCACAATCCTATGTATATACTCTAATAAATTGCAATATACTTCCTTCTTGGTAAAAGTATAATTAACAATGTTAATTATAAACTAACAAATAATGATAGATTACAGGATTCTTCTCTCTTCTTACCACTATATTTTAAATGCTCTGAACATTAATTAATTTCCAAAATCAAATAAGCCTTCAGACATTTAGCAAATTTCAATGGATAATCCTTGAAGAATAATGCTCTAAAACAAAAGCAATCAGTGTCCAAAGGGAGCAATCACCTTACCCTTCTTGATTCAGGTAAACTGGAAAATGTGAGGACCACTATTGATTTCATTATCTTCAACAGTTCTGCCATTTTAGAAAGCACATATTTAATGTCAGATTTCATTATCTGGCCAAGCATGTACTCCCAAAATGAAGTTCAGTTGTAAGATTTGTTCCTGATCTTCAATTCTTCCATCCAGTTGAGGAACAAAAGACAGCATGTTATTTGACTGCACAAAAAGGGACGACAGCAACAGCAGGTGGGGAAAGAATTGACATGCTTGTCAGAACTGATTCTCTTCTGCCTCCCCTGTTGCTATGGTAACAAGAGACGCTGTTGTTTGCCTGGGAGCTGTTGCCGAACCCTTGAACAGGTACATTATGTTGAATTATTACCGTTCTAAGAACTGATATTTCAAATCCACCTTTCCTTTTTATGCTTTTGCTTCTTAATCTTCTGTGCCTTTTTTTCTTGGTATGATTAGCATTGCATTGCTAGCTCTGAAAAAAACAATACTTCATAAGTACTTATTCTGCCAAAGCACACAACCACTTTTCAGCCATGTTTTAGAGCTAGCTTTTCACCAGGAGCATTGTATATTGTCATCAAAAGAGCCTGGTCACCCTTGATCAGATAGAATTAGCCCCGTCTCATTTCTCGTCCATGTTTTTAAAAATCTATATAAATCTGACCTGTTCTGGAAAATACTGTAGCCAGATTATTATGTTGATGTTGATGCTTTACAACAGGGGTCCCCAAACTTGGCTACTTTTAAGACTTGTGGACTTTAACTACCAGAATTCTCCAGCCAGCTATGAAAGAGCAGCAAACATCAAAAAATAATAGGGAACTCGCAAGATTTCAGGAGCGTTTGATGTCTTAACAGATATTTCAGGATACTTTATTCATACTAACAAAAAAAAAAGATAAAACTCAATTTGTTTATAAACTGATGAGAACAATTGCACCACTAAAGCCACATTTGGCAGCATCCTATCTTGAAAGAGACTGTGAATAAATGGGTTTTCTATTATGGCAATATTTTCTTAAAGATTTTACAGATAATTCAGATTTTATCATTAAAAACAAATGCTTAAGAAAAACCCACAACTTGGTTAACAGGAAAACTTTTTAAATTGGTTAAAGGAATTTTCACTAATTAATTAAAGTGGCAATCACCTGCATACATATTAGGGTGCAAGATTTAATACACAGTATTTGGTGCCACTAACCTTTCAGTCATACATGACTGATATGGATATTATCAAGAGAGAATCAAAGATTCAACTGAAGGCCCCTACCTCTTAGGAATTCTGGTGGGATGGGACACAGGCATTTTCATTCCCCTGTGGAACAAGTTGCCCAGAGGCAAACATACAAACATAGCTCCTTTGATTAGCTCTTCTGATTATTTCAAGCCCTTCGGGGGGAAAAGGGGGCTTATTATTATTTCCTGGATAAAAATGCAGCGGGTTTGTAGATAAATTCTGATATTGTTACTATGCTATTTTATGGTTATTGTTTATTATATTTTGACTTGTACACTGCCTAGATTTGACCAGATTGAAAGGGATAAATATCATAAGAAATACATAAGAAAATCATAAATGTGGCAGGCCTATTACTCATCAGACTTGGTATAAGGGCTATTGCCATACCATTTATTTAAAAAAGACTGCCAGGTCGAAGCATATCTAAAAGAGAGAAAATCCCTTTAACAGAGTGAGACGTAATTCTAAGCAAGCATTCACGCTACATGTCACCGTGAATGTTTTGTACCAATGATTACATTTAACAAATTTCTGAAGTCCATATTCATTGCTTCCAGAGAATACTGAATACCTCTTTCAGGTTGGAAACAAGAATAACTAAAATTGAGTTTAGGGCATGAAGAATGATGCTAAACTCCTGGCTAGAGCTCCAGTTTTTTCCTCCCAGGTTTACTTCTTCTAATAATGGCTGATGGTTTTTCAGCAAGTTATAATCATGTCATAGAATAAAAATTAGTGAAATATGAGCTGCCAGAAGGGTCACACAATTCTTTAATGCTTAACATGGATTTCTGCAAAAATTCAGTGATTATGAAGTCTCCAGATGGAAGTGAACACTTAACCCAGGGAAGCAGGATCACTAAGCAAATGATGAATTGAGGATTTTTATCTGTAATGTGTGTGTGTGTGTGTGTGTGTGTGTGGTTGCATTTATTAGTAGTGAATATTAATGATATTTTAGATTTGGACAGTAGTGCTACATAATGTAATGCCTGTTTTTTGTTTGATTGTTTCACAGCATAATGGCCAGCAGAAAAAGGGAATTAGCCTTGCAGGTTAGTATGAGGTATCACTCACCCAGTGCGATTGTTCTGTATTTTCTGCTTGTATGGAGAGGACAAAAAAGCCCTAGTACAGTATATCTTGCCAGTGAAATCTACAGATAAAACTGTAGCTGTAAAACAGAAAGCTAAATCACCAGTCTCCCAAACATGAAGTTTTTTGTTTTTAATCTAATTTGATGATTCAGAAAATAAATGGCAAGAACTAATGTTAAACATGGCAGTGCAGAAATTGCTGACAAACTTCTATTTAATTTTCAGATCAAAAGTAGACATTATTCTAAACGGTATTGTAGTTTAACCAATGTTCTCATTTCAATGCAGGCATAATGTCTTGTTCAGTTTAATATTCATGAAAATTGTCCTTTAAACTCCCCTGTCATTGAGGGAGATAATTCTAGACTCTTATTTAGAGAGTTTTGTCTGCT